AAATTAAAAACTCCCTGCTTTAGTTAAGATTGAGAGGCTTACTTTTAAGACTGGCTGATGACTCTTTGAAGATGAATCAAAAGTCTTGTCTGAGTCAGTACTTAACCTTCTGGTGTTTGGGGGTCTGTCAGCTGGAACTAGCTGACAGAAATAAGGGATATGAAGTGGAAAAAGGGAAGATGAATACTTTAGCCTTGTAGTGTAAAACCCAAACCAACCACTGACTGTACGCCCAGATTGAAAACTGATCAGTCAAGGTGTGGGATTTTTTTTTTTTAAAGTTTGTTTTTTGGAGCCGCCTACTGGCGGCTGAAGTACAGTTGGAAAGAACTATCCAAGTGAAACTAGTGGGTTGTGAAAAGTAACTCTAATTGAGGCTACATAGTATCTTAGGCTTAAATTCTGAGACACCAAACCAAATATAAAAGATCCTCTTTGTCCACTTTAGTTATAAAATAAATAAATTACAAGGAGAAAAGAGTTCTTTTCCATAGCATAAAAAGGCATTTTACACTGTATGGTGTTTTTGTCTGGGGCTATATCTTATATAGAAATCCACTCCATTCATGGCTAGTTTTTCAAACCTGCTTTTCGGATGTGTCCAACTACAGGACCTTATTCTGTTCCTGTAAATATTAAGCTCTGTCTTGTCTACACAAAGTGTTTTACATAAATTTACCTTGATTAATCCAGTGAAGCAGGTAATATGAGTACTTAATCCAGTTTTTCAAATGAGTCTTAGAGGCATTAAGTGACATGGTTATGGTCATGTAGTAATTTTCGAACCCAGGTTTTGAACCTGGTTCATTTCCATTGTAGAGCCATAATCTTTCCACTGTACCATGGTATCTGAACAGGGCAGGACAGAATTCCTTTGTTTTGTAAATTTAGTCTCAGAAATAGACTTGTTTTCTTGCTAGCTGTTCTCTTTAGTCGTGTTACATATAATCCAAAATGTACTAGTTCAAATATAATTTGTAGTTTTTATTTTTCTAGTTCAGAAAAGCTGACACCATTCCTCATAATCCTGCTTGATTTCCAGGGTAATATTTTAAAATTTGTTAATTTGTGGTTTAACAGCAGGGATCCATTTTTATTTGAGTTTAGTAGGTAAGGTGGTGGTGAAGTGGATAGCGTGCTGGGCTTAGCTAGGAATATCCAAGTTTAAGTCTGGCCTCAGATGTTTAACTAGCTGTGTGGTCCTGAGCAAGTCATTTAACCCTGTTTGCCTCAGTTTCCCCAAATGGGTTCACGAAGAGCCAGACATGAATGAAAGTGATTAACAACAACAATTTTTACATTTTACCCTTTTTAGTCATATAGGTTAGTCTGGGAATTTAATTTGAGGTAATATCCAATATAGCAAAGATAACTGAAATGTGCAAAATCAGTGCATGCATGGTGAGCTCATGAAAACGCCTCCCTTGTGAAATGAATACATGTTATCTGAAGTACTACTTGGCCATACCATTTTTTTCTAGAGTGGGATAGTCTTAACTGCAGGGCTTTTTAGTAGCAATAATAGATAACATTTAGATAGCATTTACTATGTGCTACTTACTGTGCTAAGGTGTTAACAAATACTATCTCATTTGACCTAACCTAATTTATCCAAAGAATATTCTGTCTAGGTGTGACAGAATGGCAATGATAGTGCCTATGTTAAATCATAAAGTTTAACAGTTACTCCTCAAACTTAGTTCTTCAGCTAAAGAGAGTAGCATGGTACATATGGAGAGTGCTGGACTTTGATCCAAAAATTCATATTCTGGTTCTCCTGTTTATTACCGGTGTGACGTGGGGCAAGTTTCTCTGGGGCTTAGTCTTTTCTGTTCATAAAATTAGGGGGTTAGACTAAATCAGTGGTGTCAGACTCACATAGAACTAGATCCCTGCTTATAAAAGCACAAATTAACATTTTCTAAGTTATATTGTATTTTTATGTGCTTTGTTTGAACATTTCTCAATTACATTTCAATCTGGTTCAGGCCACACGTGGGAGTTCTGTGGACTGTGAGTTTGACCTGTCTGACTAGATGTTAAAAGGTCCCTTCTAGCTCTAAACAGATGACCTTCTGAAAGCTTCTGCCAGTCCTAATTTTTTTCTTTTTATGACGATTTTCCTACTAGTCACTTAGCACTGACCATTCCTGTGTCATCTTTTTCTCATTCCAGTCCCTTACCCCCCACTCCCACATAATCAATTGCCAGTAATCATTTCTATTAGTTTCACCACCCCAAGATTTCTTCCATCAGACTATTTCTTTCCACTCTCACTGCAACTATTGGTTCCTATCTCTTTTCCCCAAAGCAGTATTCTAACAACTATGTGACCCTGATCAAGTCATTATCCTCTCCCAACCTCAATTTCCTCATCTATAAAATGAGGGGGATGGCCTGTGAGCTCACCTTCACCTCTAAATTTACAATTTTGTAATCTTCACACCCTGCAGTCTTTTTCTCATTCATCCTTCACAGTCCTGGCTGAGTAACCTTCCAGTTGATAATTATGTAGTTATTCAGCCATGTTCCACTCATCGTAACCCTGTTGACTAAATGTCCGTGGGTTTTCTTGGCAGAGATATTGGAGTAGTTTGCCATTTCCATCTCCAGCTCATTTTACAGATAAAGAAACTAAGGCAAACAGGGTTAAGTGATTTGCCCAGGGTCACTCAGCTAGTAAGTGTCTGAAACGGGATTTGAATTCATGAAGATGAGTCTGACTTCAGGTCCACCCTGACTCTGTCCACTGCATCACTTAGCTGCACCTGCCTGGCTCCACTCCTAATTGGTGGCTCTTTTCTGACCACCTGTTTAGGAGGAGCCCATCCATGATAACTTTATTTAGGTACAACCTATTCTCTGGACTCCTCAGCTGCTCTGCCATTCTCCTTACCCCTCTATGGTTACCATTCTTCCACATTTAACCTAGTTTACCTTAATGTGGTCTTCCCCCATTAGAAGGTAAGCTTCTTAATAGTAGAGAGTTTATTTGTATCCCTGCTGCTTAATATAAGTAGCTTCAATTCCAGTTATCTAAATCTCTTCAGTCTAGCTAAAATTCAACCTTCAGCCTGTCTTGTGTATCTTCTGCTATGTTGACTGTATTCTATTTGACTCTTTGTCTAGCCCATATCTTGAGGACCATCTGTGATGTTGCTTCTGACCTCACTTTTATCTGCTTATCTGTCAAATGAAAGTGAATTTTTTTGATAGCTCTAATTTCTTAGCACTTTACACCTGTTTGCACTTATGTGTTTCTTGATCATATTGTTTACTTTTTTTTTCTCCATACATCCTTTGCCTTCTATTAGATTGTGGACTTGTTTTGAAGAAGGTCTGTGCCATGTCTTAGTATCTCAGTTTCTACAACAGTGTCTTGCTTGTTGTAGGCATTTAATGAATATTGAATACCTGAAGAATCCAAGCTGAGTATCCTTGTTCAGCTGAATTACATGGTTGCACCAAACTGGCTTTTATCTTTCTGTGTATTTTATAATATCAGTCTGCATCTGTTATAGGATTGCTGTATGGTAGGCTCTATGTGCAGTATTTAGTTGCCTTAAAATCACGAAGTCTGAAAAACAATGGATTTTAAAGATGAAAAGAAACCAGATCTAGTCCAAAATCTTCATTTTTATAGGTAAGGAAATAAAGTTCTAGAAGAGGAAAATGGCATCTGATAATAGCCAGTATTGCTAATTCAGAGGTTTGCCATTGTTAAACACAATTTGTAAGTAAATATTGGGAATTGATTAGGCTCCCCATTAAGTGGATTAAGGAGGTCAAAAAGGCTTGAGCACATCTTTCTGGAATTGTGCTTTTAGAAGGTTTTGAAAGAATATCTTTGGTTGCAGGGCATTGAGTGTTCCCAGCATAAAATAGTTTCCACTAAATAAGCATCATAGGAAAGCTGACATAGTCAACTGCTTCTGGGCCACACCCTTGTTCCTCATAGAATGAGGCAGGGAAGCCACTGTAACCAGCAGTATTTTCCTGAGCAGGATTTCCTGCCCTGTAACTGAGACAATACTTGGCCTATTTGGGGCTTCATCCCCAGGCTTCTCTGAAGCAGCTTGCCAAAAGGGTGAAATAATAATAGCTAGCATTTTAAAAATGCTTTATTTGTAGTTTTATCCTCATAACAACCCTAGGAGGTAGGTGCTTTTATTCCCAATTTACAGATGAGAAAACCGAGGCAAACTGTCAATAAACATTTATTAAGTACCTACTCTGCCAGGTGCACTGGTGATAACAAAAAAAAAAGCAAAAGAAAGTCCTCAAGAAGCTCACAGTCTAATGAAGGAGATAGCAAGCAAACACATATTTACAACCAAGCTATATACACAGTAAGCAGGAAAAAAACAGAAAACTTTAGAACTAAGAGGAGTTGGGAAAAGCTTCCTGTAGAAGCTCGAATTTTAGCTGAGACTCAAAGGAAGCCTGGGAAGCCAGTCACACAACAGTGTCTGAGGAGGGGTTTGAACCCAGGTCTTCTTAATTCCAACAATCACTATCCGTTTTTGTCCCTAGGACTAAGTCTGGAATCTTGAAAGTAGTGTAGGCATTTAATGTTAAATTAATTGAATGCAGCAAGCGTTCAATTCAAGCATTCAAGAATGATTTTTGGAAGCAATGTGCCATAATAGTTCACCTAAGTTGAATTCAGTACACGGGACACCTATAGAAGAGGTATAGTAATTTGAAATGTATTACTTTAAAGAATTGCATTTTACTCCTATCTAGTAATGAAAAAATGCACTAACATGATTGTTTTCTGTATGAACTTATTTTTTAATCTAAAATTTGTTGTTGTTGAATTGATTGAGTCATGTTAGACTTTCTGTGACCCCATTTGGGGTTTTCTTGGCAAAGATACTGAAGTAGTTTGCTATTTCCTTCTCCAGCTTGTTTTTACAGTTGAGAAAACTGAAGCAAAGAGGGTCAAATGACTTGCCCAGGGTCCTAGTAGGTGTCTGAGGCTACATTTGAACTCCAGTCCTCTGACTCCAAGGCCTGCACTCTATCCACTGCACCACCTAGCAGCTCAATCCAAAGTTAACTTCCTAAATTTGAGTGTTATTAAACAGATTGGCCAGTCTTGGCTGATGTTGAATCCTCATTTTGCATAAATAAAATGAATATTTTGTATTGAGCTTTGGTCTTCTCCTTTTGAGTTTAATACCTGTAGTAGCCCCTCAGTGACTATGAAGCCTCTCTACCTTTACTGTGCCATGAACGGGGCTATGCTTAGAAGTATGTATTGGGTCAGAGTCAAAACTGGCTGTGGCTTTCTTCAGTAGCATTACAAATATTTGTTGGTTGATCATGTAAAACATTGGCCATTAGAGCAAATACAGTGTAGGAAAGAAGTGTTTTTTCCCCTTCATGGAAGAGCATTTGGCCTAGTGCCTTTCTAGAAATAACAGGAAGACATAAGACTAGAGGGCTATAAATATGTCCATGTAGCAATAATTATTCTTTTTCTATTTCAGCTGAGGATAATGATTCTCCACACTCCATACTTTATTTAAGTAAGAATTTATGCACTTTAATTTCCTGTCTGTGCCATTGGGCTAATCGAAGACAGCATTTTGAAATCGCAGCTACAGAACCAGCCAAAGTCACATTCTTGCCTTAACAATGTTCCAGAGGTTGAATAGTATGTTTGTGGGTGAAATCAAGAACTCTTCTAGCAAAGAACCAGAATTTAGTGAAAAAGAAGATGATGAATGGATTCTTGTTGACTTTATAGGTAAGAGATCTTCAGTATGTAATCATTATGAGAAGTGGTAAATGTTCTCAGTTTGCATGGATAAATCAGCAACTCTGAGGTATTACAAGGTTAAAATGTAAATAAATAATTTGTTGGAAAAATAACACATAGGTTTTTGTGCCAAGGGACCAGAGTGATTGACTCTGATTTATAGACCTTAAAAAACTGACAAAATTAGGGCTAGCTAGTGGAAATCCACTTTTATTACAGGTAATGAAGTTTCATTTTTTTTTTCCTGGCAGTTTATTGAAAAATCAATGATAAGCCATTAGGCTTATCATAACTGATTAACCATTACCAAATCATAGTTGATTACCATTTCTCTTTCTTGAACAGATAACCAAACCTTTGTTATGAAAATAGAGGCATGTGAACATAATGTGATGTTAATAACATTTTCCCTTTTTTTCCCCCATATGCCCTGTGGATTTGATTATTTAAATAATCAATGTGACATCCATTTCCACTGTGGAACTGTTCAACATCCTTTTGGATTTGGAACACTACCTAGACACTAATTTTTCTTCTTTTTTTTTTTTAATTCTTTTTTAGACACTAATTTTTCAACAGAAGTAGAAGAGGAAGATGCCAGTGAAGAATCACCTACTGAGCACCCTCCAGTTTTTTCCTGTTTACCAGCTTCCTTGGAATGTTTAGCTGATACTAGTGAATCTTGCTTTGTCCAATTTGAGGCCTGTCCTATGGAGGAGAGTTGGTTTATTACCCCTCCCCCATGCTTTACTGCAGGTGGATTAACCACTATCAAGGTGGAAACCAGTCCTTTAGAAAACCTTCTAATTGAACATCCCAGCATGTCTGTTTATAATTCCTCCAGAAATCTTAATGAGGGCAACTGTGAGACTGATGAATTTCATAATCCGAGCAGTTCTAGGTAAGTTGTAAGTAACTTACATGATCCATATACATTACAAGTAATTTGCTTTAACTCTAGTACAAAGTCTAATTTGAGATGGAAAGATAAACATTTCAAACAAAAGATTTATTGAAAGGATGTACATGTTAACACAATTATGTGATAGGGTGAAAAATCGCTCTAGTTATTTTTCACTACATGACATAATCTATGTATTAAACTATCATCTAGAAAAATTTTTAAATAAAATACTTGAATTATAGTTGACCTCTGTCTGAAGTTGTAGATGGCATCTGGAAGTCTTGTCATATTTACTAGAATTTCATCCCGTCCCCCTCACTCCCTCATCCATGTTACGGGATTTGGGTGTTTTTAAAAGTTAGACTTCACATAGTTCAAATAGGGATCAATGTTATTTACACCCAAATGGTGACCAGCTAACCTACATATGCTGGGATTTTGTTTTGGATACAGCCTTGCATTCATAGTCCTAGCAATTGGACCAGAATTATTTTACCAAAGCATTTCTTTGCTGTTAGTATCTTAACTCACATTTATATAGCACTTCAAAAATCACAAAATGCTTCATTTCTATAGATTTATGCAGTCCTATGAAGTGAGGTTGGCAGGGCAGGTATCCCTAGTTAAGGAGCTACTTTAGATTATCCAGAGCTAGATTCCTAGGGCTTCAGTCTATCTAAAGCATTTGATCTAAAACATTAAGTTTACAAACAAATTTAAACATTGATTGATTCAGACTAGAACAGTTTGGGAAGCAGAGAATAAGATGGTTGGTTAGTTTCATCACTTTGTTAATTAAAGCAGTTTCTTTTAAAATGTCATTGAAACCACACCTAATTTCTCTATTAGGAGAGTAATAAAGGATAAAAACCTATAAGGACATTATTAATGTATAAATGACAGAAAGTTGTCATTCAATTTTGCACCATTTTAAAGACCCCTTAAATAAATGTCTTTTAAAATATGTCACCCAGTTAGTGTTTTATGAATGAACTTTGTATTTTTTTTCTTTTGAGTTCTAAATTGTAGGCAGTTCTCAGCTTACACTCAAACAGACCCTGCACCCAACAGTTGGGAGTTCTCATGCTTCCTTCAGTCTCCCCAACCAGCCTCCCACCCCCCACCCCTTGCCACCCTGCCCTTTACTGGCTCTTACCTGAGCCTGGTTGGGGACCTTCTGGTTCTCCTCTTACCCCAGACCTGGTCTAATTCTAGGCCTGGAGGTGGTGAAGGGGAAGTAGAGGGAGGAAAAACTTCAAACTCAGCAGCCATCCCTCTCTCAGACTTTCTTCTGACTGCAGTGTCCTAGTAAGGGAAAAACCCTGATTGGAGGATGGCGGTGGAAAGGTAAGCATTGAGCCAAGCCCTTGGGCCTTAGGAAGGGAACAAACAAGAGGGGGTGGGGTAGGGGTGGAAACTGGGTTGTCTGGGGCTGAGAAGTAAAATAAGGAATGCTTAATGAATATTAAAACATGCAGTATTTTCAACTGAAGAACCCCCCACAACATTACAGTTAGGTATTCAATAACTGACTCATACAATTTTCAGATTCTTAAAGATCCATCTATCCCAGTGTGGGTGCTAGGTATCATTTTTAAACAGTTAGATGGACTTTTGATCCATTCTAGCTGTGTTACTGATTAGTCTGTTTTAGTGATGTTACTATAGAACATTTTACTATTTCATTATAGAACTGAAGGAACCCTACAGTGCTGTGAATTGATGGCTCTGAGTCGTGGTTTACACCTGACTGCATTTAAACCTTGATTGATTTGTGATAAATTATGTTCTGCCACCGTCTTAATTAGGTTTAAGTAATACATAAATTCAAGTAAATCAGTTCTAATAAAGAAAATTTGACCAAAAAAGTTTAACTAGCACTTGAAATCTCTTTAGTTGTTCAATAGTATGGCATTTGACATTGTAGGGTCAGGAAGAGCTGCTTAAGGTTCAGTAAGTATTCATCACCTTGGGACACAAGTTACATTTTAAAGTCTTACTAGTAAGACAGAGATTTTGTAAAAATCTTTTTTATATTTTAAAAAGTATTGATTTTAAAACTTAGAATTGACGAGAGTGGAAGCATCTTTATTTTCTGTTGGCTCTTTATGGGTTTCTTTATGTGATTATGAATTCTGCTATTTAGAAAAGTCCATATAGTTAGATAATTTAAGCCATTCAGCAGATACTTATTGAGCCCTCTTTTTTTGATCATATTCTTCTTAAACATACAAAACCAACTATAAGCAGATGAATGAAAATAGCCATGTAAATTTGGCTGTATAGACGTGATCCTCTTCTGTAGTATGTTGGGAATCACAGTTTTTCATTCTTGTTATAAATACAGTTCAGTTCAATACTATTAGATCTTCAATACAGAAAGCATATTATAGTGCTAATGTTTTGTACTATCATATTTAATGTTTATGATAGCTTAGTAGCTTGGGTTACATAATAGCACTCTAAATACCTAGATCAACATTAGATTAAGCATTTTATTCTAAACTAAAAATTATTTGAGCAGTAATTGTATGCCTGGGAAAATGTTTGTTAGAATCACATAGCCAGTTATTACACAAATTTGTATAACATTGGTTAAATCATATTACCCCCCCTTTTCCATTCTAAAGGCTTTGTTTATATCATTGTTATCCAATAGCAGATGTTAGTTCTGTTCCTAAGGGATGTTTAAAGCACTCCACTATTCTATACTAAAATATTTATAGCTGCCTATACTTAAATTATATAGCTGCCTTGTCTGTGAATCTTATGTATGGATATTTTAGCTAAATGTTACCCCAAAGACTGAAACGGTATTTACTGCACAGTCAAAGACCAACTCCTTTACAATGCTAACTAATACTTAGAAGTACAGAAGGGTGGATTTTCAAATTTGGCCAAAAAGTCAATTTTGAAAGTTTAATTTCCAAATAACTGATAGATTTAGTTAACATTCTGTTTGTGAACATTTGACATGTTTTTGCTATTTCAGAATAGAAGTACGGAATGAAGTGGGGCAACATGTTCATTGCTATGTTGCAGCTTTTGCTGCTCATTCAACTTTCCTGGAACAAACCAAGAGCTTTCGTCCCACTCAGTGGATAAAGGAACATGGTGAAAGACATTCTCTGAACAGAAATAGCCTCCGTCGCCAAAATCTTACCAGGGATTGCCATTCTCGGCAAATCAAGCACAATGGGTGGGTTGTTCACCAGCCTTGCCAGCGTCAGTACAATTACTAAGGATTCCAAGTCTTAATCATATCAATTTGTTGGTATATTGCTCTTGGTTTTATATGTGAGAGTGTGGGTGAGTGTGATGTGCGCACATGCGCTCAAATAACAAAGGTGTAGTATTTGCAGCTTGACTGATGATCAATCATTTAAATAGAATTGTTTCTCTAGATAATTTTTTTTTAAAAATTTACATTCTGTGTGTCACACAATGCCTTGCTCTTCAGAGTTAACTTTTTGCCTGAACTTTTTCAGAATGTTTTAGAAACATCAGTATGATTGCAGTGTTTAGTATTTTGGGAATGTCTTTGACTCAACTAAGTTATGTGAGTTAGTTGGCATTTTAAGGAAATTTCTTACTGAGTGATGGAATAGTCAGGTTTCAGCTGAATTTTTTTCCTTTTTTTTTTTTTTTTTTTTGTATTAATCAAAAGTTTGGAATTTCTCAGGGTCAGCCATACACTTTAATGACCAGTACTTGATAATCTTTTCTGTATATAATGAATACTTTTTTTTACACACTAACAAGCATTAAAAGGCAGTGGTTGCCATGGACATAATGGAATCATGACTGAACTTTCTATTGAAAGAGAACTTGATATTTTACTACTTCCTCATCAGTCATACAGTTAATTTTGATATCAGGTACATTTAGTTCATAGATAGGAGTTAGCTGTCTTTCTGATAATTACAATGATGTGGTACAAATATTACAGGTTATTGTGGGACAGAAATACCTGTTTCATTTAGTAAAATTAAAAGCAGACCTGTGGTTTATACTTAGAAGTGTTCATTTATGAAAAATGCTCATTTGTTCCATTGTTTTGATTACTTAGGGCTTTTTCTTTTTCCCCATTGGTTAGTTGCAGAATTAGAAAATAGCCATTATTATTATGTAGAAATTAATACAGCCTCTTCACTTTACACAATGAGAAGCACAAGTCTTTATTTCCAGGCTAGGAACAGAATTATTAGTTCTGCTTTTCCACCCTTGAGTCTGTGCTGATAAGTGATGTGTACGGATTGACTCCTGACAAGCACTGCTTCCAGACCAACATTGTCTTGAATGAAGATTAGTAGCAGCTGGAGTTTTCTCTCTCCTGTTTTCCTTGGTTCAATAGTTGAATAAAAATACCTACCTCACAGGGGTGTTGTGAGGATTATAAATAAGAAATAAGGTTGAAGTGGAGTTAGGAGATTTCTAGAACTGGACCTTCCATGTAATTCCAAGGGGCTCTCTATACTGAATCAGTTGTTATTTGGCTATATCTCTGCCAGGGCTGGGTAGGTAGTTCAAGGGAGCATGGTGCTAATGAAGCCAAGCTCTGGTTTAATTTCTCTTCAGGATAATTAATTAACTTCACAAAACAAACAAAAAAAAAACCAAAAACCCATGACGGACTACCATTAATCTGTAGCTGGCTTTACTTTTTTAGTATTTAGTGATGGCTTTTCTGAGCTATACACACTACAAATTCTCAGTTTCTTGTATGACTAGGGACACAATTAGAACTCAAAAAGTCCATTTCTACTAGCAGTAGAAGAACATCATGTTAATAATTTGTCCGTCCTTTTTCCACCTATAGTCCAGCCCTGACTAAATAATAAATGCATGTTTTAAGATGCTTTCAAAAGCATTATAATCATAGAGTATTATTTTAAATGGCTCTGTGTGGACTTCAGATACTAGGAACTGTGGGAGCCTTTCCTCCCCTTTAAGTGTGAAAAGCTGTGTTGAATAGCATGGGGTGGTTGTAATTCACGAAGTCAGATGGTTAGTGTGTTTAGATGCTTAAAATAGTTCTTCCAGTAGCACTAAGAAAGTGTCATTTTTCAAAACGGGGGGGGGGGGGGTTAAGTCTACTTTTCATGGCTTTCCCCATTATTTATTTATTTTTCCTGATTAGGGGCCAAGTCCACAAAGCTCTGTCAAACTGGGCTAGTATTTTGTTAAACTGCTAGTGTTTACATGGGAGGAGAATGATTTAGAAACTGTTTGCTAATAGGGCAATACAGTTGGATAACTTGAAAATAATATGACTAAATGGTTTCTTGTAAAGCTTCTCAGTATTGAGAAGGAAGATTCTTATACATAGGTTACATGAAGTGCTGGTACCTCAAGCTATAGATCTGACATTCAGTTGTGAAAATTTGCTATGGCCACATGAACAGATTTATGTATAAAGTTACCGTATTCTCCCCTTTCTAGAGGGCTTTTAATTCATTCACCTCTATATTAGCTACTGACCCTTTGTTTGCCTGTCAGTTTAGTTTTGTAAGCTTAAAATTCTTTCTTAAAAACTGTTGGAATTTTATAGAGTGAGAATTATCAGGATGTAATCTGTATGTACTATAAGCATGCTATGGTATTTATGTTGGCATCAAAATTTATCACCTAAACCTTGGTTTAAGTTCGTGGTTATTCAAGGTGCTGCAAGGCCAGTAGCCTAGTTAGAAATATGAATCTGATATATTTTTTGAAATATGGCCAAAGAGATTAGATTTTAAAGTTTGTTGATAAATGCTAGTGATTTGAAATTGCTTATTCTGAAATCATACAAGGAGAAATGCCCCTTTTAAAATTTCATAAGACTTTTTCACTGTCTGCAGTTGAGTTTTTTGTTAATAATGCCTAGATACATGAAGACATTACATTCTGTCCGTCATATGGCAGTATTGTGATATAAATTGAAAACTAACTGGTCCATGATTTATCTTCCATATAAATGCATTTATAATTTCATTTGGTTTGGTTTGTTTGGTGTTGTTTTTGCAGTTCTAAAAGTGGTTCAATTATAAAATTTCCTACTGTGGGGAATTTTTGTTACTGTCCTTCATTTGATTTGTGCTGTATGCTTTGGTTTACATACTCTTCTGTTGTGATTTGATTCTGTCCCCTAACCTAACCTCTTTTAGTGGGAGAACAGTAAATTTACCATCTGATAAAACCTTTTATCATTTGCTTATTTTATGCTTTCAAAGTGGAATCACTTTTTAAAATCCTTTTTATTTTCTTTAAAGGAAAAAGAGCAAGGAAGAGTATAGTCTAAATTTACCCTGATTCTCTTTGAGTTGGAAAAGACAAAAATAAAGGAAGATTAAATCTTGTTCATCTCAAATTAGACTATATAAATTGTCATTTTAAATAGTGAGATTGAATAATGAAGTGAAAAGAACTTCCTAGTCTAGGGCTTTTATTTTTGCTATAGAGACAATTTGAGACTGCTCCTTGTACCAGGAGATACTAATCTGTTGGATGTTTTTTGTTTTGGTAATGTTTTTTTAAAGTTTTTTTAAGGCCTGTTCTTACTAATTCTTGTAGAACTGAGTCACCAGAATTGAACGTCTTTTGTCAGCAGTCAAGTTAGGTAAGGTGATTCATCCCTTTCTACATGTATGTTTAAAGTGTTATTTAAATTTTTATATTCACATAAAAAAAATATTCACATTTTTTTTGTGGCGATGAACCTTGTCATATACCACAATTTTCTTAAAACTGTTCAAGTTTAAGTAGATTGAAAACTAGGAAAATTATGCAGCTAGAAGGACATCTGTTTTAATGTCTTTATTTTGGGAGAAGTTACTTTCAGAAAAGGCAGCTTCCGTTCGAGATGATATATATGGTTGCATATCATTGGGGATTCTTTTAATGTATATGTTGTGGTTTTTTTGTTTTGTTTGGGATTTAAATCTAAATGTTACACTCCATATAATAATGCTCTGTATTTTTGTCTGGAATTTTAAGGGGTTTTTATTTTCTAACTGGATGGCTGTTTACAAACCAAGCCACTAGAGGGGAGGGGAGGTTGGGTCTGGTGTGTGTGAAGGGTTTCTGCTGAAACCTTTGGTTTGTTTTCCCCAGAGGTTCTGGACTTTAACTGTTATCTTTTTTTATGTGTTTTATTTAAAGTAAAAGAAGTGGCTTTGATTTTGTTTTAGAAATGTTAACACATTGATTTTTTTTCCCCCAAGACAATACATTTTGTAACTAGATTAAATAGTACTGTCAGTTGGACTATATGTGCCTTGTAAATGTGTTTCTATACACAGAAAATTTGAACAACTTGAAAGACTCAAGGACATTTGGTTAGGAGAAATACTGTACATCAATCTATGCATAAATGGCAGCTTATTTCTTGAGCCACTCACTGTCTAGTTTCTGTTTTTGTAGAAAATTTGATACTGATTGGTTCACAGAGGAATGATTGGTTTTACAAAACAGACTGAATAATACAGTACAGCACTTTGCCAAAAAAAAAAAAAGTGTAGCATTGCTTAAACATGTGTACTAACACCAGTTTTTGTATGGGGGGGGGGTCTTTGGTGCATTTTGCACTTCTTGGTCTTTACCTGTCAGTAAATAAAATGTCTTTTGCTTCAAAATTATTTGTCCACTTTTTTCCTTTTTTTATTTCAAAATTGTTTTATACAGCAATAAAAAATATACAGCATTTCACAGAACATGAATATCAAGTAATCTCAGATTTCAGAGTGGGGTAACCAGTTTGCAGAGATGAGGTCTTTACATGAAAATATATATATTGTAAATCCCAGAAGAGATACATTATGAAAGGGATGAGGATACCTTACATCATTGTTAGGTTTCTCAAACCCAGTACCTTCAATGTCCTAAGGATACTATTTTTCTGGATTATAAGCTATTTTCTGGACCATTTTTGAGATCTTTGCCGGGTGAGAGTCCCTTGGGTGTTCCTCGGTAACTACTGACCTGACCCAACATGGATGTTGGTATTCTGGAGGGAAGTATTAAGGTCTTTCACATGGGAGAAAATGTGCAGACTATGGAAATTATTGAATATCAGCACACTAAATGTCGAAAACAAACCCTTACTCTACTGTATCACAGTACCTCAGTGACCCTGGGCAAGTCACTTAGCCCCAATTGCCTCACCAAAAAGAAAAAAGTTGTTTGTAGGTATGTAATCACTTCTACTTGGAGTCGAGGAAAGTTCTGAGAAGGCTACACCTCAACTGAAGTCTGAAGAAAGGGGAGATGCAGTTCCTCCTAGGTAAAGGGAATAGTGTGCACAGCTATATGGGTAGGGCAGAAAGGGAAGAGGAGTGGCTAATTAGTAGTCCAGTTTGTCCGGCATATAGAATATATGAAGTAGCATGAAATAAGACTTGGACAGCAAGAAGGCAGATTGTGGAAGGTCTTGATACCAGAAGTGCCAAAACTGAGCCAGATTAATACAACATAATGTTAATTGATGGTTTTCTAAGTTAATAGGCAGCCCACAGGGATCATTTCTATATTGAGTGGTATCACTGTACAGTGGAGATAGCTCTCAAGTTTCTGATGCTAATATTTCTACAAGAATAAAATGGAATGGAAAATCATTTATTAAGTGCTTATTATACACCAAACATTTCTAAGCACTGAGGATACTAATAGAAAATCAGGATAGTTCCTCAGGGAGCTCACATTCTAATTAAGGAGTCAAAATATATAGGAAGGTTTAGCTTCAGGGCAAATGGAAAGGTCCAGTGGACTTTGAGGGAGAACAGCAGTGGACTGGGACTTTGGCCTAATAGGCAGGGGCCGGGAAGAATCTGAGTAATGGCTGAGTAAAATGGGTCTAGTGTACAATTTCAATAGTATTTTTAAATTGGTGAAGTTTTTTTGTCAATCAGCAGAAGTCAGTACTAACTATTCATACTCAATCCAAACCAACTTCTTTCCTCTCACCCCGAAGAATTCCCACTCCACAATTTAGGATAGATGGCCTAATCTTCACTGAGAAGACTGAGGTTATCCAGCATGAACTCCTTTCAGCTCTTCCAAAACCAAGCCCTGCTTAGCCTAATTTAGCACTTGTTTGCTCTTCCTTCTACCTGTTCTCTAGATTCTCTAGACCTCCTCTGTCATGCCTCTTAAATCTCTTTGCACTGATTAGCTCTAGTCTACATTCAAACATGCTCAGGGGTCCCAATCCTAAAAATCAAAACAATAATAATGAGGAAAAAATTTCCCTTGGTTTTATTTTTTCCTCTCATTTATCACAAAACTTCTTGAAAAAATTGTTTATGCCTACTGCCTCTCTCCTTTCACTCTTAGCCAGCCACCGCAATTGGGCTTTTCTCCATTCAAAAATCTCAACCTGCTCTCTTAAGTATCACTATTGTGCTCATGACCTTTAAATCCAATGGCCTCTTTTCAGTTCTCTTCACCTCTGGACATTTTCCTACTTTTTACCATCCCTTAAACAATACTAATACTAATTTATATAGCACTTTTAAGTTTTCAAAAGCACTTTCATGCCAAACAACCTTACAAGGTAGTGTACCCATTTTGCAGCTGAGGAAACAATTTTAAGGAGGTTAAGTGACCTGCCTATGGTCATGGTGTCCCATGGCTGCAGAAATATCACACTTGCCTGCTTCTCCTCCTGTCTTTAACCACTCGTTATGTCTCTGCCTCTTCCTGACCCCTTAAATCCAGTGTTTCTCAAGGGCCTGTCCTTGATCTTCTCTTTTTATGTATTTTCCCTTGGTAATCTAATTCATTCATGCATTCCCTGCTTTCTGTTACCAGCATCACCACTTTAATATAGGCAAGCCCTTATTACCACCAGTTTGAACACCTAAAATAGTGTCCTAATGGGTCTTCCTGCCCATTCCAATATATCTTTTATATCACAGCCAGAATAATACTCCTCTTACATACATCTAGCCACTTTACAACTCGGCTAAAATTTTTTTTAAAATGCATTGGATCTCTATTGCCCTGAGGGTAAATTTAAAACTCTTCTCCCTGCCATTCAGGGCTCTGCTTCTACTTTAATGTTCAACTTTATCTTTACACGTCCTCCATGCACCCTCTACACTGGTTAAACCAAACTGTTTGAGGTCCCAAAAATATGTCACATGCATTCCTAACTCAATGCTGTTTCTCACGTTGCCCAGGTGCCTGGAATGCTCTCTACTCCTCTGCCAATCAAATTCCTACCTATCATTTAAAGCCTAATTCCAATGCTATTTCCTCTGGGAAATCTTGCCTGAGCATCCTGGCCAGTAATAATCTTTTCCCTCAGATCTCATACATATAGCATATTATTTTGTAACTCTATGATGTGCATATGTAACATTATATGGCAATCTTTTCTATAGACTATAAGCTTAGGGCAAGGGCTGTCTCATTTAAATTTTGTAAATCCTTCACTGCCTAGCACAGTGAAGCAGCTTACCAGGAGACTCTAAATAATGTAATACCATGATAGCTGTTTCAGAAATGCTTTTATTGAAATAGATAAACTGGAGCATATAATGTATAAATCAAATGTCCGTAAATTGTGATCAATAATAACAAAACAATAGCTTAAAAAAAAGTCAAAGTATAAATATTCCCATACCAGAGTGTGATTAGTTACTTTATCAATATTCACTGTTCACTCTACCAAGTGCAGACTGTTGTACTTTGTAATATGAGTGATAAAAGAATAATCAGTTGTCTCTCTTTTTTAAGGCAATTGGGGTCAAGTGACTTGCCCAGGGTCACACAGCTAGTAAGTGTCAAATGTTTGGTCTGAAGCTGGATTTGAACTCGGGAACTCGGGGTCCTCCTGACTTCAGGGCTGGTGCTCTATCTACTTCACCACCTAGCTGCCCTTCAGTTGTGTCTTCCCTTAAGAAAGTTACATTCTAGTTGGGAGATAGAATACTGATATGTGAAATTAACAACCATTTATATAGCACCATATTATGTGCAAAAAAATGTGATTGTGTTATAATAGAAAGCTAATAAGATCACCAGAGTAAAGAGCTGAGTAGTAGTCATCTAGTTTTTTATTCTGCCTTTTGGTATAGATTGTCTCTAAGTCAACACAGAAATAGTGCTATCTAGACAAAGTATGATTTTTTGCTTTATAAAACAATTTTCTTTTAAGATTCTTCTTAATAGCAACATTCTCCCAAAGTGCAAATATGATTCAATTTGCCAAAATGCAATTTACAAATAACTACAAGAATAATTATTAATATGCGCAAGGGGAAGAGCAAGTAAAAATGCCCAGAGTCTGTAGATGGAGTGTCTTTTGTAAGAAAAAGAAAAGAGGCCAGGGTCACTGGATTGAAGAGTATGTGGGGGAGAATAAAGTGTAAGAGGTCTGGAAGGGGAAAGGGGGGGCAGGTTGTGAAGAGTTTTGAATGCCTAACAAAGGATTTTATATTTAATCTTGAAAATCATAGAGAGGCACTGGAGTTCTTATGGAACAATAGTATGAATTGTTTGTGCAGTTTTTCAATTTAATGTAATCAAAGTCATCCATTTTGCATTTTGTAGTGTTTTCCATCTCCTGTTTGGTCATGAATTATTCTATTCTCCATAAATCTGATAGGTAAACTATTTCTTGCTCTCCCAGTTTGCTTATAGTATCAGCCTTTATATCTAAATCATGAACCCATTTTGACTTTATTTTGGTATATGATGTGAGATTTTGGTCTATGCCTAGTTTCTGCCATACTCTTTTCCAATTTTCCCAGCAGTTTTTATTAAAGAGTGAGTTCTTATTGTAGAAGCTGGGGTCTTTAGGTTTATCAAATAGTAGAAGTGGCAATGGGGATCACTGAGTATTTCAACTCCCCCACCCTGATCACTGAGTGAAAGGGCAACCAGTGCTAGAAAGGGAAGCCCAGGAGGCTATGTCCCCAGGAGGACGCCAGGTCTCAGTGAGAGTAAGAAGATGAAAGGAGAGAGGAAAAGATTTAAGATGAAAGGTAGTTTGTTACCTATGGAGCAGACATTCCAGAGAGCATAGTGAAAAGGATGGGTACCTTTAAATTGTAACGTGGGGGTGGTGGTGTTGGGTTGAGGGAAATGGAAATGAGAGCAAGCAGTGAGGGATGGAGAAGACTTTATATAACAAAAGCTGGGGGTTCAAGATCACTGGGATGAGGAGGGTATGAGCATGTTAGACTTTATTAACCACTGGGGAATGAATTCAGGGTTATTAACTTTGTAACTGTCTGGCCTCAGGGTGGTGTTTTTTTTACGGTGTTAGGTAGCTAGAAAACAAAGGATTTAAGAATATGATAGTAGTCTGCAGATATCTGTAGGTTTGTCATGTGGAAGATCAATTAAGCTTCTGTTTGGCTTTAGCTCAGAGAAGTAGGGCAAATAGTTATAAGGAGGCAGATTTTAGCTCAGTAGAAGGAAAAACTTTCTATAATTGGAGGATAATATTACATGGTCCATCTATCTCCTAGTTTCTATGAGGAACATGATTTTTTTGGTAGTTTTCTTTGGGCCTTTAAATGTTTAAAACAGTGGGAAGAGCTATCTTCTTATATTTCTTCTTTAAGACCAAGCTTAGGAACATGCTTGTTTAATTAAATGTGATTTATTATTGATATTATGTTAGTGA